TCAGGAATTTTTTCCCTCCAAAGGCACCAAACCAACTCTCAATCCCAGAAATTCCCACTTTTCCTCCCCAAAATCAGGAATTTTTCCCTCAGGATGCACCAAACCAACCTCCAATCCCGGAAATTCCCAATTTTCCTCCCCAAAATTAGGAATTTTTCCCTCAGGATGCACCAAAGCCACCTCCAATCCCGGAAATTCCCACCTTTCCTCCCCAAAAATGGGAATTTTTCCCTCCAAAGACACCAAATCAACCTCTTATTCCCTGGAATTCCCACTTTTCCTCCCTAAAACTGGGAATTTTTCCCTCCAAAGGCACCAAACCCACCTCCAACCTCCCAGAATTCCCATCTTCCCTTCCCAAAACCAGGAATTTTTTCCCTCCAAAGGCACCAAACCAACCTCCAACCCCTGAAATTCCCACTTTTCCTCCCCAAATCTGGGAATTTTTCCCTCCAACCCCCCGGAATTCCCGCCCCAATCCCGGCTCTCCCGTTTCCGGGCGGTCGCTCCCGGCATTCCCAGAATTCCCGGCTGTTTTCCCGGCGCTCCCTGGCTTTTGTTTGTGCCCCTGGAATTTTTTTTTCCGGCTGTTTTGTGTTTCCCTGGCTCGGATCCATTCCAGGATTATCCCAAAGCCTTTGGAAAAGTTCTCATTAGGAATTATCCCAGGATTCCTCTTCCCGGAAATCCCAGGAATGGCCCAACCGAGCTCCTTCTTCCCACTAAAACCGGGATCAGGAGACAAATTCCGCTCCTGGGAGCCATGGAAGCACTTCCCAGATATTTTCCACTCCGGAATTCGGAATAAAATCCCGGATTTTCCACTGGTTTTGGGCAAAAGCGACGCCCGGCACAGAATTCCCAAGAAATTCCAAAGGAGAAGCTCCAAAATATCTGGGAATTCCTGGGAATTCCCAGTCCCAGCTGGGAATTCTGGTCCCATTCCCAAAAAGTTCCAAAGGAGAAGCTCCAAAATATCCAGGAATTCGCGGGAATTCCCAGCTGGGAATTCCAGTCCCATTCCCGAAAAATTCCAAAGGAAAAACTCCAAAATATCCGGTAATTCCTGGGAATTCCCAGCTGGGAATTCCGGACCCATTCCCAAAAAATTCCAAAGGAGAAGCTCCAAAATATCTGGGAAAAGGGATGGAAGGAGGCCCTGAAGGAGCAGTTTCAGATCCCGATCCCAAAGTTCCAGCTGGGAATTCCAGTCCCATTCCCGAAAAGTTCCAAAGAAGAGACTCCAAAATATCTGGGAATTCCTGGGAATTCCCAGTCCCAGCTGGGAATTCCGGTCCCATTCCGAAGAAATTCCAAAGGAGAAGCTCAGAAATATCCGGTAGTTCCTGGGAATTCCCAGTCCCAGCTGGGAATTCCGGTCCCATTCCCAAACAATTCCAAAGGAGAAGCTCAAAAATAGCCCGGAATTCTCGGGAATTCCCAGTCCCAGCTGGGAATTCCATTCCCATTCCCAAAAAATTCCAGAGCTCCAAAATATCCGGGAAAAGGGATGAAAGAAGGTCCTGAAGGAGCAGTTTCGGATCCCGATCCCAAAGTCCCAGCTGGGAATTCCAGTCCCATTCCCGAAAAATTCCAAAGGAGAAACTCCAAAATATCTCGGAATTCCTGGGAATTCCCAGTCCCAGCTGGGAATTCCAGACCCATTCCCGAAAAATTCCAAAGGAAAAACTCCAAAATATCCGGGAATTCCAGTCCCATTCCCAAAAAATTCCCAAAAAATTCCCAAGTTCCAAAATATCCGGGAAAAAGGACGAAAGGAGGCCCCGAAGGAGCAGTTTCAGATCCTGATCCCAAAGTTCCAGCTGGGAATTCCAGTCCCATTCCAAGGTATCCCAGTGCCGTTCCCGGGATGCTCCGAGCCATATCCGGGCGGGAAGATCTCCCGAGGGAGATTCCCGGTTTTCCGGCAGGAAACGGGAATTCAGACGAGTTCGTGGAGCTCCAAAAACTCCTGAAAATCCTTGGAGTTGCTGCTTTTCCAAGAGTTTTCCCAAAATCCCACGACATTCCCGGAGGTGCTGCCGCTCGGAAAACTCGGAGCAGGAAATTCCCAGGCTGGAATTCCGATCCCGACGGATCCCGACGGTGCCGGTGGCTCCTCCCAAGGGAAGTTTAAGGAAACTCAAGTCCCTTATCCAAGGAAAACTCATTTTCCAGCAGGAATTCCAACCCCTTTAGGGAAACTCGAGCCCCTTTTCCAGGGAAAATTCCTTTTCCAGCAGAATTCCAAGCTCTTAAAGGAAACTTGAGTCCCTTATCCAAGGAAAATTCATTTTCCAGTGGGAATTCCAACCCCTTTAAGG